CCTGAGAGTTCATCCGGGCCGCTTGTTAGGAATAATCCTAACACTGCATTGGGGTGCGCGTGTGCGCATCCGGTCTAAGGTCATTTCTTGGGGCCAGTCCAACGAACGCTATTGAACAAAGGAATCATTTTGGCGGTCAGCGGCAAGCTCGACGCCTTAGGAGAGCCGACAAGGTTGCTAGCCTTTGGTCAGGCTACCACCCTAACACACTCTACTATCACTATTACTACTACATCCACGCGGAAGATTGTATGTTTTAAAGCGGACTTGCATTACTGTCTATCATCACGAATCGTTTCAGTAGCGCAGGGGTTCTCAGCTTAATCAAAGTAATGAACCATTATTGTGCTAGTATTTTTATAACCTATCGTCCAGTTGACAGCATGACAAACCAGGGCATTCAAACTTCTAGAAATATAAAAGTAGCCCAGTGGTGAGCCTGCTCCATGATGCTTTCGTGAACATCACAGAAGGAGCCCTTGTAAACGAGGAACAGAGGAGCACACGCACCAAAGGCCGCCAAAAGCACTCTCTTACTCTTAGTCAACAAAAGACGGCTACCCTGTGTAAGAAGTATGTCAACAGACCCAGAGTACCTCAGGGCGGCGAAATTGCGTACGTTCTTCCGGAAGATGACTGACCCAACAAAGGTGTTGGCAGCCATTATCGGAGAGCACTTAGGGCGGCTTCGGAAATCAGAGGCCAGTAAAGAGTAAGACGTTAAATCTGCGGGATTCCGCAATCGCATAATTTTGGTATATTCTAAGGCTGATTGTTTTTCTAACTTAGTTAATTGGTTGTTTAAGTGCCTTGGGTTTTTAGCACACAGCTTAGAAACAGTTGTTCGCTTTTCAAAACACTTACTGGGTAGCGTCCGACGACTGATAAGGTTGATGATTGTGACATACGCGCCTGCTTCATAGTCATCATATACTCTGACTTGGCCTAAAGTCTGCGCATAGTGGTGGTCAGGTCGTTTTGCCAATTGTGTAACCATTTAACTACCGTTCCGTCATCTAGGGCATTCGTGTGCTATAACTGTCTTGTTGAAAGGTTTTACGTTCGCTGGTGTGTTTTCTTATAATGAGCAGTAGTTGGGTACTCCTCTTTTGCCTTCAAAAACATCAATTCCAACTCCTTTCGGTAATTAAAAATTCCCCAGACCATAAAACTACGACGTACATGGGGTTTTATATTGCGGGTTTCGGTTTCCTCTCTCTGGTCATGGCAGACGTCTAAGCTTCTGCATAAGAGAAGCAATGGATTCTTGCTGATCATGCGGAGTATAGTCTTTGAAAATTCCAGCATTTTACTCCAATTGTTGATCGGTATGCCACTAGTTTGGACAGGTACCTCATACCGTACTATTTGCCGTTCTTAAGGCATTTTCTCACAGTGCTTTTCACGAACTGTGATGCGGTTATTTACCACGATTTTTGATCGCAGACGCCGTCGGATATCTGTTCTGCTAAGGCCCATTGCAAGCAGGGGTGGGATATCACGCCTCGTCCAAAACCCTCTTGTTTCCCTCTCCATGTTCTTAAAAGGCTATAACAAACTGCAGTTTGTCGAATTGGAGATCAAATTGCCTTTTAAAGTGCCACTTACCGGGCTGTCATTGCCGGTGGTGACAATTACTTAGACCTGAAGACAGTTCAATATTTACATTAGTGTCTTCCTGGGCCAGGCGCGAAAGAACTCTGGCATACTAAACAGCCGTATTTTGAGCCTTCTCAGTACCTAAGGGTATGTTAACCATTTCGTGATAAAACTTTGTCCGCACTGAATGCTGTCACTGTTTACTTTGTGGAGCAGGAATGCCTAGAGCTGTCTATCTCTGAAAGGGTTCATCTTTGGTCATCTTCCGCTCTTCAGCTGCATCTGCAAATAGATATATACTAGACATATGTGATAAAACAGAGGGACGACTTAAAAATGAAGATGTCAACCTCCCCAAGCGGCTGCAAATCTTTATTTACCGTCAGGTTGATCCCTTCCCTTGAGTGAAAGACTTACTTGACAGGCTCCCTTTTCTTACCACCGAGTCCTTCGGTCTCAGCGTGATGCTTATCCTCCGTCTTCTAATTTTCATATCACCTTTTCATTATCTGACTTTCTCATACTGCTTTTATTACAGCCGGGTAGCTTCATCGTCCGTGATAGCGGAACGCACGCCAACTGTTATGCCCTCTCTGTCCGCGTTGGAGAAGAGAATGACCGCTGCATGTCAGCTACTGTACCTCATCCGAGCCCCAGCTCTTGTGCCTCACAGAAAATTAGCCACTACCTCATTCAACGGGGGCCAAGTGGCGTTCGTCTTAAGGTAACCCTTCGTCTAGCCTCACGCTGCCTCTGCAACCATAACATTTCGGTAATTTCCCCTTGCAGCTCACTGTTGTGGCGAGCGGAGCTAAGTTTTCGGATTTTGGTTACCGGGACAACGGTCCAGTACATGGACTGCAAAACCTTTCTATTTTTCTTCTGGTATACAGTGCTTCTTGGCGCCTAATGCTTGCTGATCTGAGCTTCGGGGTCGATGCAAAAGCTCGCTGTGCAATAGTAAGTGGGCTGTAGACAGGGTGCCCCACGTCAAAACAGGAATGTGAAGTTCAAGTTTGCAAAAGTAAGAATTCCGGGATAAAAATCAAAGATCATGTCAGTACTCACTGGAATGAGTTTGTGTTCGCTGAGGTCCCGGAGAGCTGGGCCGGCTCTACTTTGTCAAAACGTAAGCTGCCGTTACCGATCGGTAGTTTGGAGTTGTGGCTGCACGCGTCGGCCGTGGGCTGATCGATTTTTCCTCGTTCGCGAAAACATAAATTCATTCCAATGAGCACTAACAGGAATGTGAAGCATTCTTTCCTTGGTCTGAATTTAAAACAGACGTAAAAGCGGAATTTATTGGAACCAATAAATTTCGTGGTGGTCCATCAACCGCAATCCGTCTCCGCATAACATAGATAACGAATAGAAACGCACAAATGTTTGAATTTGCACAGAAAATCAATACATAACAGTGACGCGATTGTTCTCTGCATAATAATCAATAAAAATGATACCTTTAAAATACAGTGAACAATAACCTTGCTGTTATGTATTGATTTTGTATGAAAATTCAAACTGCTTTGTGCTTTTATTCGTTATCCATGTTATACGGAGAGGGATTGCGGCTGATGGACGGTCAGGAAATTTGTTGGTTCCAATGAAATTCGCTGTTAACGCCTATCTTAAAAACGTGAGTGCCCACTTCCTTCTTGTGCCCAGGATAGATGAAAAAAGGTTATTCTCATGTGTTTGTTCCCAGTTCATTCTGTCCCTTAATCCGTCAGTTGTATTTTCCTGGCGGTTACGCATTCGAATTTTCTTGTTAGAAGGGAAGTCTGGCAACCCATTTCCGCTGATTGCTGATGAGCCTTTTGCCTGTCTCTAGAATCACGAAAACATTTGACTGTTGGCAGCATACTTCTAAAGAAAAGAATTAACTGCTCAGTTGCGTTGCAATATTCAGGATACTTCAAAGCCGTTTTTGTATTTAATTCATACCTTTCGTGAAACTTAATATTCCACATACACATGCAGATAAATGAATACGTTTAAAAATCTAAGGGAGCTAAAATGATCAATAACTCCACGTCGTGGCAGTCGATCTATAGGAGGCAAATTTTTATCTTTGGGAGGCAATATGAAAGAAATACTTTTGAAATACTTTTGAATAAATGATTCCGCATTACACACTTTGAATTTAGCCTGCTATAAGGTGGAAGATAAGAAGCAAACAGTGTAAACAAGTAAGTTGGAGAATATCAGCTGTTTGATGTTCTGTGAGATTTAAATGGGGTGGAAAGCCTTCTGCTGTCTGTTGGGTACTTTTTCATATTTGGCGGTATTTTTCATATTTTCTTCAACGGTCAAGTTTTTATTTCCCGATCGCTTTATTTCGTAGCCACTCCTGCTATTCGAGCAGAAAAAGCCAAGACCACTTACGCGTTTACGAAGTCTGGACGCACTCACTGATTTGCTTATTTTATCCACATACTCTTATTTTATCTAAAATCCAATGGGAGTACTACACTTTAAACGGCTCTGATCATGCGTGATGTAGCCGGCCTCAATAATGTTACGGGCGGTACCTCTCCACGCGTGACGCTTGTTGGCAGCGGATCTGAGAAGCTCCACCCATTCTCTCCTCCAACGACGGTGACTGAAAATCGAATGTGCAAGGACCGCTTCTATGCCTTGACGAACGGTGTCGAGCCAGGTTTTGATTTGCCAACCTCTTCGACGCCTCCGTGTGGGCTGCGGTGCCAGATCGAGGGCAGCATACCAAAGCTCGTGAGCCGGACGACAGCGAACGTGCCCAAACCACCTCAGTCGTCTTTCTTGGATGGTCTGAAATATCCTCGTGATACTGTCGCAGCGAGTACGGACTGTCTCATCCGAGATAAATT